CCTATGCTTAGCATATTTATGTTTCAATCAACCTTAGGTATCTTATAACGTGCATACCATGATTAACTTTAGAAAGGTTGTTATTCATTTGAATTATAGTCACTTTGTAAAGTCCATTTCACAAAGATTTTTGATTAATAGTTTTTTCAAACTTTGCTCTTTATTCTTGTAATTTGCCTCGTTTTTGCTTCTTTTGTTTTTCTTAATAAGAGTTATAGGTTATCTCTAGGAAATCTTTACGAGAGCATCACTCATCCTCTGGGGCGATCTAGGGGTTTAAATGGCTTGTCTTTTGTTGCTAAAATTGGCCGTGATTCCTACGAAAGTGAGTTAGTGTATATTCTCACCTCCTTCTTTTGATTTTTATTTTGATTAAGCCCTTCTTTTTTCCTTTTTAGCCTTTGTTTTGCTCGGGACGAGCAAAAGTCTAGCTTGGGGGAATTTGATGAGTGTCATTCATGGCACTCATAGGGTACTCTTTTAGGATGATTTCATCCCTTTTTAATGCTTTCTTATCTTATTATTGGTCATTTTTCCTTTAGTTCCTCTCTTTCCTTCTTTCTTTGTGTTTTTCGTGTTTTCTTAGTGTTTTCCTTTTATTTGGCCCTTTTTCCCTTTTATTCCTTTCCTTTGTTTGCTCTTGTAGGTACCTAGGATTTGTCTTTGCAAAGGGATCAAGATGACCTATATTGACTAAGCAAGGAGGAAGCAATCTGCTTGGAGAGGGCTCAGAGAGGCCTTAGAGAGGGCATCAGCCTTTGCCAGGTTGTCGCGGGTGCGGGTCATGAAGGTCGCGGGCGCGGGATGTGTTGCACCAAATTAGCCAGAATCGACCAGGAACTCTCTGTGGTCTGGTCGCAGGCTCCCCGCGGGCGTGGGTAGACTGGAGAGAGAGCTCCATATTAGAGAGACCGCGAGCCTCTAATTACTCTTTGGGAGCAGCGGATTCGCCGCACCCTTGCCGTGGGCGCATGCTAGAATACCCGCGGGCACGGGTGCTTCCCAGACAGCCTGCGGAGTTTGTTATAGGTTCCGTACCAATTTCCCTGCGGGCGCGAGATTCCTTATAGAGGGCGCGGGGTTCCTTTTTTCCTTCTTTGCTTATAAATACACTTGATCAATCTAGCTTTGTTTCTTGAATTACTTGATCAATCTAGCTTTGTTACCATAGTACCACCCATTCTCTCACTACAATCTTCGAAGTAGCTTGATTTAGGCTAAAATTAATACCGACTCACTCCTTTGGGTTCGACCCTATACTTGCCTTATACTCGTATTAGGTTTGTTGAGGTTGTTATAAATTGTGTTTTATCTAGGGATAAACAATTGATGACACATTTTTCCTTTATCAACAAGAGGTCACTAAGATGACTTAAATGGCAATATAATGACCTTAGAAAAAAAAGCCACAAGGAGTAAATCTGTATCAGATTTGGCTAAATAGCATCATTCTAGCAAGAACCCAAAGAAGGGCACATATATTAAAGCTTTGGCACATATGATGGTAAAAGGTGTCATACTAAAGGTCAGCATATAAATGTACTTTGAGAATGAGTGAAATCATAAATCATTTTGCTGTTTTAACACATGTCAAGTTAAATTCTCACAGATATGAATGAAAAAGCTTAGATACAAAATTAAGAAGCTTATATACAATCCATTGTATGAACAACAAAAAGTCAATACTAACTTTTATCTTCAATAAATACATTAAATAGCAAGAAAAAGAATACCACTCTAACAGCAAATTCTACAAACAATGCCAACCAACTCCACAAACCTAAAATTAAGAAGACTAAACAACCCTGAACAAACTATCCATCCTAACTCAGTTCTGAAAGTCAGCTCTGAATTGCGTTCTGATTTTCAATTCTGAATTCAGGTCTGATTTTCTGCTCTGAATTCAAGTCTGATTTTCAGCTCTGAATTCAGGTTTGATTTTAAGCTCTGAATTCAGGTTTGATTTTCAATACTGAATTCAATTCTGATTTTCAGTTCTGAATTCAGGTCTGATTTTCAGCTCTGAATTCAGGTCTGATTTTCAGCTTTGAATTTAGGTCTGATTTTCAACTTTGAATTCAGGTCTGATTGTCAGCTCTGAATAAGGTCTGATTTTCAGTTCTGAAAGTCGGCTCTAAATTCAGTTCTGATTTTCAGTTTTGAAATTCGGCTTTGAATTCAGTTTTGATTATCAATTCTGCATTCAGTTATAAAATTCGACTTTTAATTCAGTTCTGAATATCAATTCCGCGTTCATCTCATGTGATAATAATTAAGAGTTCAATCTCAGTCAAATGAAGGTTTACCTCAAACAAGCGAGGACTTAGCTCTGTTGGATTGGTTGAGGAAGATGGGGAAGGTTGAGCATCATTTACTTGAAAATCGTTAGCAGTAATGTGTGGAATAAAAGCACAAAGATAAGAACTTACAGCTGCTGCAATGCCTTCCTTTAATTTTTCTTCAAATTCCCGGGTTAAGTTCTCTTTAAGTTCATCTAGTTCTTATAATGGGCAACCACTTTTAGACATGTTTTTACCTTTTACCGGGTCAAATGATTTTCTATAGTCAACACCAATCCCACATTCACCAAGTCCTTTCACAAATCCACGATGGTCCTTTTTTCCCAAATGCCAAAGTAAGGGCATCAACGCCTCGCTCTGATTATTTACACTCTCCTTCCTCAGATTCCTTTGCTTGTTTTTGCAAGTTCTCTTCCTGTTTGAAAAAACATAGAAAAGTTAATTAGATGACCAAAAATCTGTAATGTCAATAGATTTCTTTGTTTTGATAAACTATGACATACTACTATATTGGAAATTCGAATAGTTTCCGTATCTTTTGGGTCGATGCCCCATGTTCCATCTAGCAACCGCTTTTCATGAGATAAAACCCACTCAAGGGCTCGACTATAAAAAATAGAACCTGTTAATTCGGATGATATACTACAAGAGGGGGGGTGAATTGTAGTATGTTCCTAGTGCCTACTTTTCGCGGAATATAAAACTGATTGCTGTTAGGAACTTAGACAATGTAAAGCGGATTTTACGAGGAAACCATCCAGGGCCCAACTGGAAGTAAAACCTCGACCCTACCTTAGGGATTTCAAACACACTTCACTATTATAGGGCAAACACCAAGTTACAACCTATTAGACACGGACCTTTATTTCACAAGTTCCTCACTGGACTTGCTACTTAATAGGACCCTATCCTACCCAATCTAAGTACCACACTTAGATTCACTCGTACCACCAAAGTACTACACGTACTGCCAAAGTACAAACTGCTTGTACAACCTAAGTACAAAACTACTCGTACTACCAAAATACTACCCACTCGGCCTCACACTAGAAGCTCAATTGGCCTCACCTACAAGCTCACACATCGCACTCTTACAATATAATTATAACGAGAATCCTCATGAACTCTCACGCCCCAATACATAAAACACTCAAAACCCTTTTTCCCAATTACAAGATCTCAAAGAATAACTCTAAATACATACCAATGAATAAAGAGATAAAACTAATATGCTGGACACTTCAAGATCTGTCTGGAACTTACTGGACGAACTGTAACTGGAACCTGACTGGAACTTCGACCTGGAGGTTTGACTTAGCTTCGTGGTGAAGGATGAAACCATTAATCACGACCACTAAGCTTCATCAGCCTCGACTTTGAATGAATACATATGAGCATATTTATAGTACACCCAAATTATTCTTTTCGTAAAAGATAAGTTTTATTAAAAGATAGAAATAAAAGATATTTTCCAAAATTAAGTTTTCCAAAAATATATCTTTTGTTAAGAATATATTCTATCAATAATAATAAGATATATTTACCATAAAATCAGATTTTATCTAAATCTTATATTTTCCAAATATACTAATATATCTTTTAACAAAATATATACTTACCATATCTTTTTACAAAAGATATACTTGCCATATATTTTTATAAAAGATATACTTACCATATCTTTTTACAAAAGATATATTTACCATATCTTTCAACAAAAGATATACTTGCCATAAAATTAGATTTTATTTAAAACTTATTTTACTGAAAATATTTTCCAAAAATAACTTATCTTTTTCCAAAAGGGATTTATTAGAAAATAAATATTTTTATTCTGTAAAACCAAATCCCTAAAAGATATGCATGTATTAGGTAAATATTTATTTTATTAAATTTGACCTGCGACCTTTAACGACGTGCAGACCTAAGTTCCGATTAGGTTCTGGAACTCTGACAGTCTCTGAGTTCCTGACAAGTCAGTAACTTTAATTTCATTGACTATCATGAGTTCACCTTGGTTCTTTAGACTTGTTCCAGACTGACTTTTATGTCCAACATACTTACATGAATCCTAGAGCGACATACTTCGATTTCTCCGTCTTCATGTTGTTTCTTTGAAACACTTGTTCTAGAATCTTGTAGTATTGATGTAATCTATATCTCGCGGCAACGTTAAGTTCCTGTTAGGGAACATGCTCCAGCTCTTGTGGGAAAGCCTGCCAAAGGTTCCTTCTGCATCTCGTTAGAGAATATCTTCTGGTTCCTTCGTGGTTTGGTTCTTGTGGGAGAACCTGCTTTAGGTACATTCATTCTCTCTTGTTCCTCTTGAAGTCTTCTATGTTTCAACCCATTGACTTCACCTAAGTCAGTTCCTGTCTTCACATAAACACTTAAGAGAAACATTAGATTGAAGTTTGTTTGTCATAACAAACTTCAAGTAAGAGAACTAATTAAACTTAAAGCTTATGTAAATACTCCTACACATATACAACTCATGTATGCATAGTGTACTTACCTTATGAAGCTAACATATGCAAACACCTATTTACATAGTTACCTTCATGGTTCTTTAGCCATCATCATGTTTATCAACCATAACACTCATCATTGTTCTTGTTTCTCTATTGCTTATCATATATTGCTCAGGTTCCTTATATATATATATGTGACTGCTCAGGTTCCTTGTATCCTGTTCCAAGTATAACTTGTTCTTTCTATGCACAACTTATCAAACACATTAGATAGATAATCATCATTAGTTTACAATCATCAAAACCTAATTACTCAACAGAATCAGTTGATGTACTGCTCTGGGAAGTGTTGTCAGCCAGAGCAGGAAATCTATTTTCAAGTCTCTTTTGCTTATTCAAAATTATCCGAGCTCTTTGAAAACTGTTTAGACCCAAGTGATGGCGACATTTGTTTAGCTTTGCATTTTCCTTCCCCTTTTCACTTTTTTCCTTTTTTTTTTTAAAAAAAAGAAAGAAAAGAGAGTTAAACATTGTCATATTCTTCACAATTAGTTTTTGTTTGATTAATTAACAGTGCATGTGAATGTGTAGTTACCTTGAATTCTTCTGATTTACTAGTTATTTAGAATCTCTTCCATTTCTCCTTTGTAAAGTAACCTTCATACACTTCCCATGGCTTCATATTTGCTTTAGGAGAAGTGGCCGGGTATGGGTTTTTAAAAGTGATGAATCGTGTCCTTAAATTTGACTTGTGATAGCGGAATCACGAAGCCACAACACTATGAAACCTTTTTTGCCTTTCTCCACTTGGATCCTCAATGTGGAACATTCGCTGTGGATTAAAAAAAAAGTTAACTAATATTTTGAATAGTAACATGACTAACTAGTAAGTGAATAGTTTATACCTTTGTCTCCTCCCATATATTTACCCGATCCACTTTATCTATTTTTGCTTACTCATTCACAGTGATGTCTAATCTCTTAGCACTTGCACCAATTTGTTTTCCATAAGCGGGTTCCCATTCACCAGTAGGCAAGTCAAAATCATTAAATTCAAGCACCATAGGCTTACTTGATTGTTTTGCCTTTGATGGCCACCTATTCTTCTTAGATGATGTGGCTCGCAAAGCAACATCTTGGCTTGAGGAAGTTTTCTCTTGACTTTGTTGAATGGCCATATTTATGCTCCTTGATCTAGAAGTGCCTGCATAAAAAAAAAAGACAGAAACTGATAGAATTAAATGTACAATGAACAGAGCTATATTTTTACAGATTATAAAAGGTTTCTATCTACAAGTAAGTAACAAAGCAAGAAAATATAAATAATAAAAGCAACCTGCAGAGACATTATTTTTCAATTCCTGAAGTTATAATACCAATAAAAACAGTCAAGCTTGTACCGCACATATAAGAACTATGTAAAATTCCATTTAATCTGCCAAAGCTCAAAAGACTAAAATCCAAGTGAAACTGGAGATTCTATAGTCATTTAACATTATTGTGTAGCATTATAGTTGCAAATTAATCGAAGAATTAAAAAGAACTACAGATTGATAAAAAATGAAGCCTATGTATCAACATGTTCTCCCTCCTCATGGGCATACTCTTCATCAGCGACAATGTGTTCCCCCTCTCTTTGAGGTTGAACCCCAATAGATAGAGGCAGTGTATCATCAAATAGGTCATACTCTTCCTCATCGACAACATTTTCGACACCAACAATTCTTCTCTTGCCTTGAACAACAACCTGCCAGTTATAGTCAATGTTATCCCTTATATAGAAAATTTGTTTTGCTTGTGAAGCTAAAACAAAGGGCTCCTCCTCATAAACAAATCGACTTGAATCCACTGAAGTAAAACCAAATAGATCATATATCTTTTTGCCTCACCGTTTGTCAGCCCACCTGCATCGAAAAACAAGAACTACAAAATCAACATAATTTAGCTCCCATATCTCTTGAATAACCCCATAATATGACTGTGTTGCATCAATAGGCCTAGCATCCTTAGATCTTGAGTATTCCGTAGAAGATGCGACAACCATAACACCACTATTTTGATGTACGCTCTTATCATCTTTTGAGGACGCCAATACCCATTGATGTCATAGCCTTCATAAGTGTTCACAAACAATTGAGGACGCCGTGAAAGCCATCTGATCGTATCAGATACATTATTATTTTGTTGCCCCAACTCACAATTCACTTGGTTTCAAAACCATTCAACAAAAGAATGATTATGTTTTTGCATCAAAGCATATGTACCTATTCTCGGATTCATTCTTTTTAAATAATTGAGATGAGTTTTTATATAAGGATGGACTTCTGAAAGGTTTTGAAGAACATAAAGATGAGCTTTCTGGATTTTATCTGATGGAGGCTTCACAAATAATTGACGACCGATCGCCCTTGCCCTTGAAGTCTGCCTTCATGCCGAGATGTTTGAACTCCAATTTCTTTAGCCTGAGTTAAGAACAAAGAACAAAAGTTACTAGCCTCCTCTGCAATGGTACCTCGAATAATACTACCTGCAGGATGTGCTTTGTTGATCGCCTTATCTTTCAAAGTTCCCATGTGTCTCTTATAAGGGTACATCCATCTCAAAAAATATCGGGCCACATTCCTTGATTTCTCGTACTAGATGGACAACCAAATGAACCATTATGTCAAAAAATGAAGGAGGAAAATACATCTCAAATTTGTATAATGTTTCTACAACATCAGTTTGCATTTCATCATGTTTATCTGGATCAATCATTTTGTTACATATGACATTAAAAAATAGGCAAAGTTTAACAATAGTGTGCCTAACATGTTTTGGCAAAGGACCTCGAAGTGCAATAGGCAATATCACTTGCATCATGACATGACAATCATGGGATTTCATACCAATTAATCTCTTATTGACCATTGAAACTAGACGCTTAATGTTCGACGAATACCCTGTAGGTACTTTGATGCCGTACAAACACTCACAAAATATTTTTTTCTCCTCTCTAGACAATGTGTACCAAGCTCGAGGCAAAAATGTCTTTTTTGTTTCGTCATTTTCCACGGGCCATAACTTTGGTCGAATATTTGCAAGCTTCATGTCTTTCCAGACATCTTTAGTATCCTTTTTCTTGATAGGTATATTCAATAATGTCCCGATGATTGAATCGCATACATTTTTTTCAATATTCATAACATCAAGACAATGTCAAGTGTTTCCAATAAGGAAGAGTCCAAAATGTAGACACCTTTTTCCAAAGACCCTTAATAGAGGAAGTTTTACTAACTTTCTCGAAAACTATCTCAACATCTTTGATTCTCTCCCACAACTCTATACCACTAAGTGGCTCACGCAACCACTGTTTCTCCGGGAACTCATTGAATTCAGCTTTTTTCTTACGATAAGGGTGATCTCGATGAAGCAGTCATCTAGTATGCATATAAACATCCTTTTCAAAATTCTTGAGGCGTGTTGGTTCCATTTTGTCCTCACAAATGGGGCATGGTTTTTTCCCTCTGACTTTGTACCCATACAAGTTCCCATAAGCTGAGAAATCACTTACAGTGCAAAAATTTATGACACGCAAAGTAAAATTTGTACTTGTATGGGCATCGAACATTGGAACACCTTTATCCCATAATAGTCTCAAATCCTCCAAGAGAGGCTCCAAGTAGACATCTATGTCATTACCGGGTTGTTTGGGACCCGATATTAGAAGCGACAACATGATGTACTTACGTTTCATGCATAGCCATGGATCGACAAAAGCACCGGCCATGTGCTGTGATGAGAGCTAAGGGTACCGTAAGGATTCATCTCGTCGGTACTTAATGAAAGTCTCAGGTTCCTAGCCTCTTTACCAAACTCAGGAAATGTATCATCAATATGTTTCCATTGCTTCGAATATGCGGGATGCCTAATTTACCCATTTATCTTCCTCTCTTGTGCATGCCACACCAAGTTTTTTGCATCCTTCTTGATAGAAAAAAGTTGTTTAAACCTCGGTATTATAGGCAGATACCATAACACCTTAGCTGGTGGCCACTTCTTGCGATTAGCGTTTGAACCCTCGCGGTTGTAGCGATTAACAGCGCACTTTGGACAAGCATCAAGATTTTCATACTCATTTCGAAAAATTACACAATCATTAGGACATGCATCGATCTTCGTGTACTCTAGACCTAAGGGACACAATAGCTTCTTTGCATAGTAGGTAGACATAGGAATGTCATTCCCTTCAGGAAGCATGTCTGATAAAGCTTCCAACAACGAATTGAAACTTGTATCGGTCCAACCGTTCTTCACTTTGAAGTTAAATAATGTTAAAACCCTTGAAAGCTTAGAGTACTTTGCACATCAAGGATATAAAGGTGTCTCGGCGGCCTTTGACACATTTTCAATCATACGAGATTCTTTGTTCACATGATCACCCAAACCACCATCATCTTAGGAATGCGATCCTCCTCGAAATTTTCATCAGTATCCCTTTCATTATCATCATATTGTTCTCTATTCTCCATATCAGTGTCATTGATTGATCACCTACTAGTTATAGGAATTATTTTCTCACCGTGCCAATACCAAATGGTATAATTTGCCATGAACCCACGGCAAAATAAATGGTTTTCAGCTGCACTAATTTCCTTCCACTTATTCACATTGTTACAATCACGACAAGGGAAAAAGATTGTTTCCCCTTTAGTAGTTCTCTGGTGTTCAATAGCAGTTCTACAAAATTCCTCAATCCTGTTCAAGAACTCGGGTTGAGTTCGATTTTCATCATACATCTAATCACGATTCATTTCTTACTACAAATTATAGAAAAACCAAGCATATAACTATTAGAACAAGTACATTAGAAACAAACAAAGGCAATTACAATAGAATAGCAACCAGAGATTATCAATCAACTCCCACAATATAAAATACCTCAAAAAACAGTCAAACTCACAAGTATGATAAAAGTGCAAGCACAATTTATATATTCCTACCAGGCTACCACTAATTCATTCTCTCTCTAGAATTATAGTTCGGTAAAATCAATACAACCAATTGGAATAACCAAATAAAATTGGTGTGTTTACTCATTTTCAGCTTTGAATTTCAACTCTAATAATTTTAGTTTTGATTCTCAGTTCTGAATTTCAGCTCTGAAATCAATTCAGAATTTCAGCTCTAAAACCAGTTCTGAATTTCAGCTCTAAATAAGCTTTATTTAGTGCAAAATAGTGCATGCCGGCAGATGTTCTGCTTAACAAACAATGCTAATTGTTAACTTCAATTCCTTAAGATGAAAGAGGTATATAACAGATGCTCAGAATGAAAAAAAACAGTGCATGCCGGCAGGGAATATTCCATAATATTTCCAAATATCCAATCACCACAACAAAGGCACACGTGTTTCGTTTACATTTCAGGTAGTGCAGGCATCTAGTATCAACTAAGTCTAATGCATAAGTAAAGCACAAATGACTGCAAACCCACATAGCAAAGTGTAAAACTGTAAATACTACAAGAACCCAAATCAGTAATCTCTGTAAGAAATTCCTATCCACCTACGAATATGTATAAATTTGATAGGTTGTGGGAAATCTCACTGATCAAACTTTAGCAATCTCACATACTGGAGCTTCATAGTGACAGTTCATCATGCAATAAGAACCTAAATATATAGATACAAACCATCTGCATTAACAATCTTTATAAAAAAAGATAAATAATATTATCCATTTATCATCATAAACTGTCATTAACCCAGTATTATTATCAATATGCATCAATGCTTCATATTAAAAAATAACTAAGGGTTCCAGGGTTACTCCAAAACATTCCTAAAATCGAAAAAGATGAATCCCATAATATAATCTTTATCTAAACAAGTCATATTTCTTGACTATTCGTTAACAACTTTCATGCTCCCCATACCCAAACAACTGAATCAGAAATTCTTTTTTCGTGCTCCGTATTTTTTTTTGGGTCTAGAAACTTAACTATGGAACGCAGACACAAACATTTGTGGATTCACAAAAAAAAAGAAGCTTTGAAATCAGTTTTGAATTTTAGCTCTAAAATCAGTTCTGAATTTCAGCTCTGAAATCAGTTCTGAAAATCATTCTTCTTCGTTCTATGTTCCTTGATGGATTAAAATATTAAATTGAGGATATAACTCATGTGCTTTTTAAGGATGAAATTTTAAATTGAAAATGGATATCAAATCTAACACCGGTACATAGTTCTTATTCAAAACTGTCATAATTTTTGTACACAACCAGAGACAATCAAACATATAAAGAAAAACTTAAATGACAAACCAATTAAATTAAGCAATTTATACACCTATTAACATCATCACACTCATAACACCACAGTTTATGCATATTAGACTAACTCTAGATCATAAAGTTTCTTAATAATTTTTTTTTGGAATAATTATTTTTATATTCCCTTTAATTATATTAGGCATTGGAATATAAAACAAGCATTTTACACCACCTTCTATTTACGAGTAATTATTTTTTTTGAAAGAACCTTCTATTTAATACTCGAATTTGTTATGTGAGGTTTTTTTTTTCTTTTTTTTTTGGAAAGGGTTTGTTACGTGAGATTTATTTAATATTTTTGGTTGTGTATACGGAGTCACAAGGTATCATAAAAGGTAATTATATAAACAATTAGAAATTACTTGTACTCCGTATTTAAATATTTTTTTCCACAATGTATTTGAATATTTGATCACATGATAAAATGACTTTTTTATGCTTTCTAACCTTTATACTCCGTATTGAACAAAAAAACATAATTTTTGTACACAACCAGAGACAATCAAACATATAAAGAAAAACTTAAATGAAAAACCAATTAAATTAAGCAATTTAGACACCTATTAACATCATCACACTCATAACACCACAGTTTATGCATACTAGACTACCTCTAAATCATATAGTTACACATAATCAAAAAGGGTAAAACTCGTAGCAGACTACAAAAAATTCTAATTCAATAACATGTGCAATGAAAACCCGGCAAAAAAAGTTCGAAAATCACCCAGAGCCCTGCCCATAGATGCATATGTATATAAGATATCATGACATATTGTATCATAACTATAACATAAGTTATCATTGTTCTACAAAAAACATCTCTTTGAATCATTCTTCTTCGTTCTCTATTTCTTGATGGATTAAAATATTAAATTGAGGATAGAATTCATGTGCTTTTTAAGGATGAAATTTTAAATTGAAAATGGATATCAAATCTAACACCAGAACATAGTTCTTATTCAAAACTGTGAAGTAGGTTAAATTCTCTGAAATCGGTTCTGAATTTCTGCTCTGAAATCAGTTCTAAATTTTAGCTCGGAAATCAGTTCTGAATTTCAACTCAGATTTTCAATTCAACATAGAAGTAATATTAACAACAAAAAAAGCAGCAACATTCAACCATAGTAGCGTTCAACATAGAAGAAATAATAACAACAAAAACAGCAGCATTCTCAATGTGACGGTTATTTCAATTAACTTGCACACACAAATTTACACACGCATCAAAGAGAAAAACAGAAGCCTGACATACTCGGCTAGTATGTACCCCAATTACAACCTTTATCTATTAAACCTCAATCAAAATAAAATCACATCAGAAGACATAAATCCTTCCTTGAAACTGAAATCAGATCAAATAAAGCTTGGGAAAGTTGGAATACAAAGAATGGATCAGAGAACACAACAACGTTGTACCAGCTCCAAAAATTCACCAAAACCTAATTTTGATTATATTTGTTCAAAATTATTCATAAAAAACTAATTTTCTTGGTTTTTAATAATCCAATTTCATTAAAAATTAATCAAGTAATTGAATTCCGCAACATTCAATTCAAATTTACATGTAAAACCACTAATTCGAAAGTAGAAGAACCCTAATTCAAAAGGAACACATACCTCAAAACCTTTAAAATCCACTGAAGCTGATCCCAAATCCGAGCAAACCAAAACAACAATGAATGGAGTGCGAAGCGGCGAAGGAGAAGGAGGAGCGGTGAAGGAGAAGCAGTGAAGGATGAGCAATTCGTTGTTGGAGCGAAATAAAGTAAGTATGAGCCATTTTTTTTTTTTTCTTTTTTTTTTTTTTTTGCAAATTTAACATTCATTAGATTCTTATTTTTTTAAAACCTTTAATCAAAATTTTAATGTAAATTAAATAAAATAAAATTAATAGGAAGTAGAAAACTAGAAACTAAATATTTGTTGATTAAAAAAAACAAAAAATATTGTTAGACTTATTATTTATAACCAGCATTAAAATTTACTTTGACTTATTATTTGTAACTAGCGTTTGTAAGCTAGTTAAAAATGTTTTGGTCAAATTTACTTTGACTTAATATTTTTAACTGTCGTTTATAAGCTAGTTACAAAATCTTTGGTCAAATTTTCTTTGACTTAATATTTGTTACTGGCGTTTGTAAGCTAGTTACAAGCTTTTTAGTCAAAGTTTTTTTGACTTTATATTTGTAACTGACATTTATTTAGTCGGATACTAATAAAACTTCAAATAATGATAAACCACATATTATTAACTGACATTTACTACGTTGGTTACTAATGTCATGAAATTTGTAACTGACATTATCTTAGTCGGTTACTATTGATGTTTTTGTAACTAGCATAATATATGCCAGTTACTAATAAGGCGTTACAAATAGCATTTTTTCTACTAGTGCCATACTCAACCCAAGGTTCCGTCCTTAAACTAAGGTGTGAAAGGTAAAAATAATTGAGGGTTTGGACCAAATCAACTTTACATTAAATTAATTTAATTTACATTTGATTTATATTTTTATTGAAGATACTAACAATTTATTCATGATGTAGCAATTTAAAGGAGCGCGTGAGATGTGAGTAATTAATTAACTTAATTACTTATTTTATTTTAATACTGCTAGTATCATGATTAGGTTAATTTATATTTGATTTAACTAACGCTATTATTGTTAAATTGCTTCCAATATTGATGTTTATTCTATTATTATTTATTGATCACCGTATTACATATTTATAGGTAATATGTAATTGAAAATCACGCTTAATAAGATAATTTGGACAAATGGTTTAGGTTCCTTTTTAATCTTATTGTTTAATCAATTGATGACAAATATTTTAGAATTATGTGTTGTATTAATATTAAACCAATTTAGCATAATAATATTTTGGAGCAAATTAAATATTTTTTTGTATGTGTAAATACCCAAATGTGTCTCCCCAAAACCGAACCTATTAATGAATACTTTTCACGTCATTTGATTATCGAACAAAGTGAAAGTGGGGAAAGTCTAATAATGAGGATTTTTTTATTAAAATATTTCTCTTTCTGTTTTCAAAAATATTTCTTTTCTTACTTTTTGTTTTATGAAAATAGCCAGTCCAATTTGATTTGGTCCATAATAAAGGTCCAATAATAGTGTAGTTGAATTGGGCTAGAAAAGAGCTTTCCAATGATATTTTATTAGCCCCAATTTAGATGACTCGTGAGGAAGTTATGGATTAAATTAGATTAGGCCTAATGATTTTTAAAGGTGGCCCGATGATCTAGAGAAGGGCCTATTAATTATTTTTTTAAAAGAATATTTTATTTTGAATAAAAATATAAATAATCTATTTCGAAAACTGCTCAGACGCTTAATTACCTACAATCGGTGTTAAAGGTAATTGCGAGTGGAAAAGCGCGTTGATTTTTGGACCAGCGCGAGACAATAGAGTCGTCGCCAGGCGCTAACCTTCGTCGCCAAGTGCTGGCCTTCGTCGCCTGGCGACGAGCTCGTCATTTGGCTCAGGCTCCTGTCATTTGCGACAGGAGGAATTTTATTCCAAATATGATTTTCTTCGATCCCGTGCTATTTTTATTATAAATAGGGGTCATATCTCCCTAGTTTCAAGGGATCTACATCTACAATCTTCTCTCTCTCTCACTCTTTTTAAAAGCTAGAAGCTTCCTCTCTCTCTATTCTTAATCTAAACCTTCTCTCTCTCATAATTCTTCAGTCATTAAGTTTAGAAACACCTAACTTAGTTCGAAGTTGCCTTCGCCCTAGACGTGAAAGGTTTGATAAATCTGAGGGTTTGGTCCATAATCTCTATTTCAATTATTTAATTTAATTGTTTGATTTCATATTTTCCTTGAAGTTATTAACGCGTGTATTTTGTTATTAGAAAGAGATATGAGGCATCGAAGTAAGTAATTTAACTGTCTAATTGATCTTTTATTAAAGAAATCATGCTTAGATTATTATTTTGATTTCTAGTATCATGTTTGGATGTTTTATTGCTTCCTAGTATCATGTTTAGAGTTAATTAATATTTCTAATATAAAGTATGATTGTTATGATGTTTCCTATTTCTTTCCTAATATCATGTTAGTACATGTTAGGGTTAAAGCTTTGATCTTTCTATGTTTAGTGACATGCTAGGGTTTGTTATTAATCTTGTTAGTGTAGGGAATAATTTCAAGCGTTAACCCCTAGCTTGAACCCCACTTTGATCATACACTAAAGTACGGTGGCGTCCAAAAGGGAAGAAGATAGAGCAAAAGAGTCGCGAACAAGTTTTAGGAACATGTAAACCGTTCACAGGGTGAAGGTTACACCCCTTAACGATCCAAGAGATCGTCAACTCCATAAGATCTAGAACCAAATAAGGGTTCGGGGATGAAGGTACAAATAATCCAACCTAAAAGAGATTGAACCTGCCCTAATAATAGGCCTCTACTTTATTCTGATCGTATTCATGTGTGCTTTTTAATTAACATGTTATCAATAGGATTAACCCTAAACCTGTTTATCTATGTTGGTCGAATATTAATGCACAAATAAACTATTATTGGCGATCACTTGAAATTATAATCACATTAACCCTAACAAGATTATTAATTATCTTATTAAGCGTGATTACAAGTACTAATTCCCTTTAATTTAAACGTACATAAAAGGCGTGATCAAGTAATAAAAATAAATAATATCAAGAAACATAATAAATTATAATAATCATGACAATAAAATTATAATCATCAAAATAATAATAATAACTTTCATAATCATCATAAATTATAATCATTATAATCATAATCATGTTCATGTTAATATTAAAGCATAATAATAGCAAGATCCTAGGCATGATACTAACATGATTAATAACAAAGCCTAGCATGTCACTAAGCAATAAAAATCAAATCTTTAGCCCTAAAATGATACTAACAATCATAAATATTAGGAAGAACGTAGGAAGCATCATAACAATCATATTTAATATTAAAATTACCCTAGACATGATACTGGGAATATCATAATAACAATGTAAGCATGATATCTACATAATAACATCAATAAATCAATTAAAGCACTTACTTTGATGCCTCATACCTCTTTCTAATAACAAAATACACACGTTAGTAACTTCAAGGGAAATAATAATAAAAAACAATTAAATTAAATAATTGAAAGAGAGATTTGGGACCAAACCCTCAGAAATTAAACCTTTCACGTCTAGGGTGAAGGCAACTTCGAATATGGCTAGGTGTTTCTAGATATTGTGAATGCAGAATTTTGTATGTAAAAGCAAGTTTAGAAAAGAGAAAGATGAATTGATTAAGGAAATCTTGATGAGAATTAGCGAATGAAAACTAATTGTAGGTGATTATTATTGAAAAATGGTTGTTGATGAGAATTGGTGAATGAAAACCGAGTTTTTTAATACGTTATTTATAGAGAAAATCAGCCAAAAAGATAAAATTAACAAAACAGAGCATCGGCGCAGGAAAAATAGAGCTGGCGCCAACCCTGGCTAACTGGCGCCAGGCGCCAACACTAGCGCCAAGTGCCAATGGATGGCGCCAGTCGCCAAGCCTGGTTCCAGGCGTCAATGCCTGGAGTCAGGCGCCAGGCCTGTTTTTGACGCGTTTTCGAAAATCAGATAAATTTGCTGCACTAGAGGATAAAATCGTATATTTTCCTCGAAAATGCTCTTTGATTTTAATTAAAACTCTGAAAAGTCAACAAAAGTCAATTTATCATTGTTAATTGAATTAGGAACGAAAAGAACCTTCCAGAAGAATCTAGAAGACTAAAACTATTCCTAATTGCATTAGGAATGATAAATCATATTAGGCCGTCCCCTAGATCATTGGGCCGCACATAAGGTTCAAACCGGGCCCGGTTTGGTAAATTGGCCATAACTTCCTCAATATTCATCGGAATTGGGCTTATAATATATCGTTGGAAAGGTCTACACTATTATTGGACCCATATCATGGATACTATTATTGGACCCATATCATGGACCAACCAAATTGGATTGGCTGTTTTCTTAAAATATATTTTCAAAAACAGAGAGAAGAGAAAAGAAATTAAAACTTTCCGCAACACTAAACTTTCCACACTTTCGCTTCATTCGATTATGATTCAACGTGAAAGGTACTCATCACTGGGTTTGGTTTTGGGGAGACGCAAATGGGTGTCTACAGAAGCCCCCACTTTGACTGAGTCTGGAGAAAAGTAAGTTTCGAAAACAAAAGTCAAAGTAGCGATAGGGACGGAGAATGATTCAGAACGTTCTGCGATCCTAAATCACTCTTGCAACGCCGATACCTGCAAAACTAGCGTTAGTTAAACAGATAAGAGAGTTAAGAAACGCGTATCTTGCACCGTCGAGCACACGTCTCTGAAAGTAACCAATTTTTTGTATCATGTTGTTTTGATGACCTCCTGCAAGCTAGAGAATCCCATCCCGCTTGAAAACCTCTATGCATGTAACTGCTTCAAAATTAGAAGATTGCTTCGTCTGAAACGATCCTCCTTTGCATTGATAATATTCCACGTCCAAGGGAATACCATCGAAGATTATTTCTCTTGAAACAATCCTCATCCACATTGATAATATTCCACGTCTAAGGGAATAATATCGAAGATTATTTCTCTTGAAACAATCTCCTTCCGCATTATGACCATTTTCCACGTCTAAGGGAATACGATCGAAAACAACTTCGCCTGAAATTACCTTTAGTTGTTTGTGACAACTCTCCGCAAGCTAGGGAATGCCGTCGAAGATATCCTCGCTTGAAGCCATCCTCGTTTGATGCGATAATTTCCCAAAGGAA